AATATTGGGTCTCGTCCTACCATATACATAGGTAGTCACTCTTTAGCCTACCAAGCTTTAGTCCAGCAAGGCTCTATTTTCTCCGACCGGCCAACGGCTGAATCTAGTAACCAGTACATCATCAGCTCCGCCTCTTACGGCCCAATATGGCGTCTTCTCCGTCGAAACTTGACTTCAGAAATACTCCATCCTTCTCGCTTCAAGTCCTATTCCAAGGCCAGATCGTGGTTGCTGGGTATCCTCCTTCAACAGATCCGTCACGCCCAAGTCGATTCTGTGAAGTTAATTGATCATTTTCAGTATGCTATGTTCTGTCTTCTTGTATTGATGTGTTTCGGGGATAAACTTGAGGAACCACAAATCAAGCAAATTGAAAATATGCAAAATAACTTGGTCCTGGGTTTCCGACGATACAAACATATACTGAAATTCTTTCCCAGAGTTGGAAAAATAATATTTAGAAATCGCTGGAAGGAACTCATTGAACTACAACGAGAGCAAAGGAATATCATCATTCCTTTGATTGAAGATTTGAAGCTCGACGCAGGGCCAAAGAACAAAAGACCGAGCACGGTGATGAGTTAGTAGTAGCTTATGTGGATACGCTGTTGAATTTGGAATTGCCAGAGGAAAAAAGGAACCTCAATGTTGGAGAAATCGTAGCCTCTGCAGTGAATTCCTAAGCGCCGGAGCTGATACGACGTCCACTGCCTTACAGTGGATTATGGCCAACTTGGTCAAAATCCCTTCGATTCAGGAAAAACTATACCGAGAAATTGCCAGTGTAGTGGGAGAAAAACAGAGCAAGTTGACAGATGAAGAGGCGGTGAAAGAGGAAGATTTGCAGAAAATACCCTACTTGAAAGCAGTGATATTAGAAGGTCTTAGGCGTAACCCACCCGGTCACTTTGTGCTGCCACACACAGCAACGGAGGAAGTTGAACTGAACGGCTACGTCATTCCAAAGGATACCACCATCAATTTCATGGTTGGGGAGATGGGTTTAGACCCAAATGTATGGGAGGATCCAATGGAGTTTAGGCCAGAGAGGTTCTTAGTGGAAGGACAAGATAAGGGAGTTGATTTCGATATAACAGGAAGTAAAGAGATCAAGATGATGCCATTCAGGGCAGGGAGGAGAATATGTCCTGCCTTTCACTTGGAATACTTTGTCGCTAATTTGATTTGGCATTTTCAATGGAATCCTGTGGAAGGAGATGATGTTGATCTCTTGGAGAAGCAAGAATTCGCCACTGTGATGAAGAATCCACTACGAGCTCGTATCTATTCTAGAGTTAACTCTGTTTGAATTTCGTAATGGCTTCTTTTTATTTTCATCTTCCATAACATTGTTTCACGATTTGCTGCAAAATCAAATAAAACCAAATCAAAAACCAATTGATAGTATGATTGGTTGACTTTAGATTGTTGCTAGTAATCAAAAGAAGCAACTCGTTAGCGAGTGGAATTTGGAGCCACAAAGCGTAAATTCATCAAAGACTCTCATTGATCTTTGATATACCGTGTAGCTCTAATGATCAGTAAGTTGCTTTGCTGTGAACTTTGTGTGGGTTTTCTTGTGCTCATTTGAAGTTGTTAATAGTTATTTCATGTCTATGTTATCTTACTATTATCAATTTGTTATAAGCTAATCATAAATTGAAAATTAAACCAAAGACTTTTTCATTTTATTTTATTCAAGAAAAAATTAAAAACTACGAAATTTATTTGGTTTTCTTTTAATAAAAAATCCGATCAAGCTCCCCTCCATTACCTCTTCCCTCCATTTTGTCAAGTGCACGTTTAGATTAGAGACATGTGTCATATTTTGTCAAGGCAATCTTTAAACTTTAAATATGACACATGTCTCTAATCTAGCCGTGCACTTGACGAAATGGAGGGAAAGAGTAATGGATGGGAGCCGGATCCTAAAAATCAATCCAAATTAAATCATAAACATCTCTATTAAATATAAAAATATAAGATGAAATTAATGATATTAATAAATATCAAATTTTGTATGGGATATATTGTAATTCTTACCAAATTTAGAGAGTAGTTTTCTAAAATTAGTTGAACTAACTATGATTATGATATTTGTTAATATAATATAATTTTGACCTTTAAACTTTAAATAAGAAACATGTCTCTCATCTAGATGTGCACTTGGCGAAATGGAGGGGAGCCGGATCCGTTAGTAATTATTTAACTGGACTACCCCTTAAACTATGGTTACCACCAATAAGGAAAGCAATTAATAGATAATTAATGGGTTTAACCGTGGTTTAGAGGGGTATTTCAGTTGAATGATTACTGACCATTAAACTTGAAAACGAACAGATGTAATTACATTAGCATAGCATTAGACGAACCGAATACTAGTTATACTGGAGAGTGGAGAGGAGCGTCTACCCTAATATACAACAACGTCAAATTAATCAGCTCTTTGCATCAATAGATTTAACAATAACAATACAAATATCAAACGTAACAACAATTCAAACAAGCTTATATTGCAACAAGGCATTAACCATCATTTTCCCTCTTAACTTCCGGTGGGAAGAAAATCCAGCAACAGAGACGTAGGCAAATAAAATGAAGCAATTACCAAATTCAAATAGAGTTAACTCTGGGGCAAATACGAGCTCGTAATGGATTTTTCATCACACTGGTGAATTCTACCTTCTCCGAGAGATCAACATCGTCTCCTTCGACAGGATCCCATTGAAACTGCCAAACCAAATTAGCCACAAAGTATTCCAAGTGAAGCATAGCCAACGCATAGGCAGGACATATTCTTCTCCCTGCACCGAAGGGCATCATCTTGATCTCTTTACTTCCTGTTATATCAAATCAGCTCCCTTATCTGATCCTTCAACTAAGAACCTCTCTGGCCTAAACTCCATCGGATCCTCCCATACATTTGGGTCCAATCCCATGTCCGCAACCATGAAATTGATGGTGGCATTCTTTGGAACTGTGTAGCCGTTTAGTTCTACTTCCTCCATCACTGTGTGTGGGAACAGAACGTGACTGGGTGGGTGCCGCCTAAGACCTTCCAATATCACTGCTTTCAAGTAGGGCATTTTCTGAAAATCTTCCTCCTTCACCACCTCTTCATCTGTACTCAACTTGCTCTGTTTTTCTCCCACTACACTCGCAATTTCTCGGTATAGTTTCTCCTGAATGGAAGGGTTTTTGACCAAATTGGCCATAATCCACTGTAAGGCAGTGGACGTCGTATCAGTTCCTGCGCTTAGCAATTCACGGCAGAGGGTTACGATTTCTCCAACATTGAGTTTCCTGTTTTCCTCCGGCAACTCCAAATTCAAAAGAGTATCCACATAAGCCACCACAAATTCATCACTTTGCTCCGTCTTTCGTTCTTTGTCCCTGCGTCGTGCTTCAATCAAAAGAATGATTATACTCTCTTGCTCTTGTTGTAGTTCAACGAGTTCCTTCCAGCGATTCTTAAATAATATTTTCCCAACACTAGGAATGAAATTGAGTATATAGAATCGTCGGTAATTCACGATATACTTACGCTGTATATTCTCAATATCTTTGATTTGAGATTCCTCAAACTTATCCCCAAAACACATCGACACAAGTAGACAGAACATATCATACTGAAAATGATCAATTAACTTCATGGAATCGACTTGGGCGTGACGGAGGTGTTGAAGAAGGATACCAAGTACCCACGATCTAGCTTGGAATAGGACTTGATGTGAGAAGAATTGAGCATTTCAGAAGTCAAGTTTCGACGGAGGAGACGCCAAAGAGGGCCGTAAGGGGCGGAGCTGATGCTATGCTGGTTACTTGTCACAACCCGATTTCTCAAGTCATGATGACACCTACTATAACCCACCAGCAGGTAAGCCAACCCGTAACCCGAAACAACAAGTAATGGGTCTGAGGGTAGAAACTAAACAAGAGTAGACAAATAACAATATAGACAGGCATAAGCAAACCAAAACATATATACAATTAAAGATCCCTCCCAGAACCTGGAAGTCACTACTACAGAGCTACTAACAAAAATGAGTACAAGTCCCAAAAATGGACAACAGAGACTGGACTGTCTCGAAAGGTAAAAGACAAGTCTATATATACAGATGGAGACTGAAATAGTACAAAACGTCGTGTGCTCACTCCCCATCTCCGGATCAGTCTGCTCCAAGCTCGATCAACGCTGGCTACTAGTGCCCGGACCTGCATCACGAAATAGATGCAGAGCGTAGCATGAGTACCAAAACAACAGGTACCCAGTAGGCATCATAGGCCGACTGAACTTGAAAAGTAAAGGCAATATGAAAAGAAGAAATAATACAAACCGAGGGTCAAGAGCAAAAATCTAAGTAACAATGGAATGCACACGACTGTAGAAAGAACTAACTAAAGTAATCTATAAGCTAACAACATGTAACACCCCGACTTTTCAAAACGTCTTGAAAAGACAAGGAGGGTGAGTAATAAATTAAGAATGATGTGGTATGTCCTATTTTATGTTTTCAAGTGTTGCATCTCAAGTTTTGAAGTTAGGTAAGTGGCAAAATAAAAGTTGGCGGAAGTTATCGTAAGTTCCTTCTTAAAGATTTCTCTGAAATTTGGGTCAAATGTCTTGGAGGTTTTCTCCCAGTCTATAAAGAGTTATGGGGCCCATAAACTATCGAATCGAAGGTCTACGAGTCTAGTTTCTAACACATCAAACTGTTCATTCATACGACTTCAGAATAGAGAGATATTCGCATTTTCGTGGGACTGCGCAAGCAGGCACGTGAGGTGGGGCCCTAGGTCGGTGGAAAGTTGTATATATCTTCTTCTTCGAGTTTTTTCTTCATTTTAAGATAAATATACAGAGAAAACATAGAAACCCATTTTTAGGATCAAGTGAAATATAGATTTTCTCGACGTAAGTTCTTGACGAAAAGTTGTTCTACGCGTTGGGCTCATCATCGTGGTATAATTTGTTTTATCAATTGCGTAAGCATATCTCAATTTTAGAGTTGGGACAGCAGGGGTTTGAATATATTTGAAGGTTTTGAGGTGAATTACGAACCTAAGATCGAGGTAAGACCCTTTTTTCATCAACTCTAGCTTTTATAAGTAGGAAATAGCAATTTGCGACGGAAATACATATCTTTTATTGTATTGTCATGGTATCTTTTATTTTATGTGTTGATTATGGTCTTACCTTGTTGTAGTATCGAGGGAGTTATGAGTTAAAGTCTTTAGGCCACCTGAATTTAGCGAAAAAGGTATGTTAAGGCTATTCTCTTCCTATGGCATATTTCCTTAAAGCTTAGAAGCAATGTAATTGAGTTGTTACCGTTGTTATACTTGTAGCCATTATTGTTGATTGTTAGCTGCTCGAGTGCGTATAATCCTCTCTTATCGGGATTCTTATTCAGTAGTAACATTCGTATGTGGGACACGACTTAGAGGCTACTTGTATAGGTTGCCTATAACTAAATTGCTCACTTTTAGTTGTTGGATTGTTATTGTTGCCTTTGGGCTATTGTTGTTAGTTACAGGAATGTGATCTATGCCTATCAGGGTTATGTTCTGCCTACAGGTCTATATGGATGCCTAAAAGGGCTATGAGTTTCCTATGGGGTTATATTGATGCCTAGAAGGGCTATGAGTTGCCTACAGGGATATATATTGACGCCTAAAAAGGTTATGTGCTTCCTACAGGGCCATGTTGTTGCCTAAGAGGGCTATGAGTTGTTTATAAGCTATGTTGATGCCTAAGAGGGCTATGTGACTGCCTGCGGGGCTAGGGGACTACCGATAGGGGTATACAGGCTGATTGGCACCTTCCGGGCTTATGGGGGCCTGAGTAGGTGGTCTTGTGTGCTGTTTGTACCTACCGAGCTTATGGGGGCTTGGTTAGGTTGTTGTTTTTATTATTTTTGATAAATTTAGATTTAGAAGCAGGTCAGTACAATTATCTTATCCTTAATTTATTTATCAGATTATTCCAGTATATCATGATACCTCATCATAGTCTATTGCCTTTCATACTCTGTACATTATTTTGTACTGACGCCCCATTGCCTTGGGGGCGCTGCATTCATGCATGCAGTTCCTGACAGATGACCGAGTAGGCCTCTATATCAGCAGGATTGACTTTTATCCGATTGGTCAGCCCCTTTCCTCTGGAGCTGCCAGAGTTGGGAGGTTTGTTACCTTTTGTTGTATATATCTTTATGGGTAGGCTGGGGCCCTGTCCCACCAATCTTTACTACTCTTAGAGGCTTGCAGACTAGTGTGTGGGGGTGTATAGCTACGTTATGGCCATACTGGCCTATGTTATTAGTTTGCTGAAGCTTGTGAGCTATTTGATGTATTGTACTGATATTTACCTATTTTTAGTTTTGGTATAGATATCATGGTGGCCTCGACGGCCCAATCAGGACTTCTATGCTAGTTGGATGTTTCTTTATATGAACTCTTGGGAGTAGCTGGTTCTTTTGTAGATCTGTTGACAGGGGCCTTGCCAGCCGAGGGCTTAGTTTTAAGCCGAGATATATTTGTATTTTCTTAATTGCATGTGATTGCCATGCGCTAGTAGCAAATGGTTCAGCAGGGTCGGCTTGGGCCTGAGTTTTGGCTTTAGGAGTCAGTTGCGCCCCTTGAGTTTGGGGTGTGACACTACACCTAACTGGACCCCCATAAGCCCAGAAGGTACACTCGTGCGCAAGTTAAATAAAAACCCGAACTGATCCCCATAAGCTCGACGAGTCCACAGAATAACTAAAACTAAAGAGAATTGCATATAAGAAACCAAGAACGGAGAACATCGAACCAGAACCTCAACCCTAATTAGTAGAATTTGACAGTACGGAGGCCGAACCTCGAACCGGATGCTCACCAGAAGTACCCAAGTAACCAATCACAAGTAACGAGTATAAGAGGCCGGAACTCTAACCGGATGCTCTATATAGGTATCTGAGCAATAGAGGCCGGACCTTAAATCGGATGCTCTATATAAGTATCTGGGCAATAGAGGCCGGACCTTAAACCGGATGCTCTATAAAGGTGTCAATGTAGCTGCTGAAACAGTCCTAATCGATCCACACTCATAAATGTCCGTGGAACGCCGTCCATACTTAGCCAATCAATGTAAGTCCTTGGAACCAAATCGAAAATCAAATTCAAATCGCGAAGTAGAATTAGTGTTGCCGACGTAACTCGTGAAACCGTAACATCGGGGAGAATAAGGAGAACTAAAGTCGGAGTAAGCGTATCGCCTAGCTAAGGCCCAATCTATCAGACTCAAGTCTGCTACACCAGTCTACAGGGATCTAAGTCGGAACGAGCGACGTCGGGGCAAAACTAAGGCCTATCGGATCTGAATCATGTATTTCTAAGGCAAGCCCTAGTCAAACCTAAACTAAGGCCTAAATGCTTCAAATAGACAAGAATTAAGCAATGCAAGCACCCCAGATAGCGAGGAGGGTTCATTAATAACACAAAAACATGCTCACAGTTACCCGATAATTCCCGAAATAAGCCGACAACATGATTTCTCAACACCTATGCAGGATTCAATAACTACCCAACCCAAATCCCAACTAATCAACATGCATTCACATTCTCGAGCTCAATCTAAGAGAGGGAAAACCGTAGCCTACCTGTAGGCCAATCACACGAGCTCCAAAATAACTTCTCCGGAGCTTTCCCTTTCCGAACGTCCTCAAAACGCTGCCCCGCTATCAAAAATAGAATCACAACATTATTACAGTCGTTTAGACACCAAAATCACAACAAACAGTGTCGGGTCAATTTTGGAGTCAAAACGGGAATCGTGGGACCCACGCCGAACTGTCCGAATTCGACTCCGTCAAGACACCCTAAACATCACCCAAAACTTGTGTTCCAAAGTGAAACACAATTCAGGGCTCAAAATGCAGCAAAAACCAACAAGCAAGAAAATCACACTTTAATCACTAAAAAAAAAGAAAACAGCAGCAGCCTAAACTTGAAATCTACAAGAATCTAATGGTGTACAACACTCTTTTAACACTCTACGATGAATCCACAACAAAAATCGGACCTAAAATGGCTTAGAAAACAAGTCTCAAAAATTTCCAAAATTAAGCTCACAAAAAGGGTGAGGCAGCAGGTATTTTTCAAAAATTACCTCAAACGGGGACTCCAAATCACTATCCGAGCT